TTCAGATTGGCCGCCAGGACTGTCAGGAAACATCCCTTCAAAATCCCAGCCTTATAGCTTCTCACTCTGCCGAGTTAGCAACTTACCCGGAAGAAAATTTCAAGGGCTCGTACATAGGTACCACGCTTACCCGCGGGCAGGGTTTGAACTCGTTAATACCCACTTGGATGGAGAACATTCCCCTACGACTTCAGCGTTCTAGCTTCTCAGATCCCCGAGTTGTGAACCTACCTGGAAAAAATTTTGGCGGGCCCGTACGCGGGTTCCACGCTTACTCGGGGGATGGCTTTCAGTGCATTAACACCGGAGAAACATCCCCCTAAGATTTCAGCGTTCTAGGTTCTCAGATGCCTGAATTATGAACTTACCCCAAAAAAACTTTGACGGGCCCGTACGCCGTTGCCACGCGGCTGATGGCACCCACTTTGGGAATTGGGGCTGGTACGTGCAAGTAGATTAAGTTCCCGAAATTTCAGCCCTGCAGCTTTTATAGGTCTTGAAATGACAGTGCGCGACAAACGCACACACAGACAACCCCTCGTCAATATGCGTTTTTGCATTGCATAGCTGCTAAAACGCATAAACACTGAAGCCAATTCATCCAAAATCTGCAAAAACACTGCAGTGGTCTACGGAACAATCTCGTCGTTGGATAATTAAAGTGAGAAAGGAGAACACGATACCTTATCCAGAAGATTGCGGATAAGCTGGATTTTGTCAGCAACTTTAGCACCACCCAAAATGGCCAGGAATGGAGGTACAGGGTTGTCCAACGCTTTTGCAAAATAGTCCAGTTCCTTCTTCATAAGAAAACCCGTTGCACGCTGGTCCAGCTTAACACCCACCATAGAGCTGAAACAAAATTAAAGTAATGAAGTGCACTCATATACTTATAAAATCACATATGTCAAGCACAGTGAGATAGAATCCTGGGTTTCAGTGGAATTTGTTCAGGTATTATGGCGCATTTCACTGATAAGTCCAACACTAATACGATTTTCTAGCAAACTTAGTAATGAACATAGCAATGACTATAGCTGATGACCAAAATAATAATAATAATAATGATAATAATAATAATAACAATAATAATAACGATAATAATAATAATAATAGTAATAATAATAATAATAATAATAATAATAATAATAA